TACAAACATATATCCAAACCATCTCTCAATCACATGTGAAAACTCTCACCCACCTAGTACCCAAGGGTAAATCCGTCCAACCTGGCAAGATCTAACATCGTGCGACTTGAGCCACTAAATCCTCTTGCTAGGTAGAATCGGTCACCGCTCAAGCCTTCGATCTAGCGAGACCATAAATCACATGGGCCGACACAATCAAATCATCTAGCGATTCTACTACCTCGCTCGGCCTTTCAACCCACTTGGGCCAACAAATCAAATTATGTGTAGCGTATCTGCCTCGCTCCGGGCCTCTCGACCCCCTTGGGTTGGCAAAATCAGATCTTGTGTAGCGATATCTGCTTCACTCAGGCCTTCGACCCACTTGGGCCGGCAAAATCAGATCCTATGTAGCGATATCTACCTCACTTAGGCCTTCGACCCACTTGGGCCGACAATATCAAATCATGTGTAGGATATCTGCCTCATTGGGTCCTTCGACCCACTTGGGCCGGCAAAAATTAGATCCTGTGTACGATATCTGCTTCGCTCGGGCCTTCAACCCACTTGGGCTGGCAATATCAATCATTTGTAGTGGTATCTACCTCACTCGAGCCTTTGACCCACATGGACCGGCAATATGACCCAATCATACGCATGCTAGAATCAAGTCAATACCATGAGGGGATGGGTACTATGTAGGTTGGTTTGAAGTCACTAACATCTCATACTTTTCTCAAAACATTTTTTCATAAGCTATTAATAATTTCATAACATCTCATGTAATGTAAAAAATGTAATGCCTGTTCTCAAAAGTTTTCAAATCTAACAATTTCAATCTATTTTCATTTCTTTCATCAGATTGCCCAAAAGCATCAAAATTCCATCTTTCTCATGTCAATCAACAATTTCCAACAATAACATTGAAATAAAGCTCATCTCTATAAGGAATTCAAACATCTTAGGCAATTTTAAACAATAAAAAAGTATAAATAAGCATTAGAGATAACTTTTATTGAAATGAAGTTAGGGTTTTAGATTTTTCCACTCACCATTTTGGAGCTCAATCCTTACTGAAAAAAGATTGAAATCCTCTAACAATGCCCCCCTTGCCTCTCTATATACAAAATCAATAATTCCTCCATAAATAAGTCCCTCTAAGGTAACACCTCAGTATTAAAATCATTGGACACTTCACACGCCAAAAGATTAACCTAACTTCTTCTTTAACAAAACTGCCTCATAACTGAACATTGGTTGGTCTCAGATTTTTCATAAAACTTCCATTCTATTTTAAGCCTAATTTTAATGGGGCATTCGAGAGACCCATATTTTTCCCATAATTTTCTCTCAAGTCATTCCAGAATAAATACTATTTAAAACACAATTTTCTTTTAACTCATTCAAATCTGCCAACTTTTCCAGAATTGAGGTTACTGACTTGTAAATTCCTAAAAATTAAACATAATAAAAACCTCACAAAACTCTCCATAATTAAACTAGACACATATAATTCACCAGAATTTAAAATCACTCAATTTGGAAAAGAATAGCCGCATCAAATCCTTTTCCAAAAACATGTTCTGCGAAAATGAAAATTCCGGAATTCACAGGCAATTTCAAAATCCATAAAAAATTCAATTCTTCGAGTTTTTGAGTGAAATAAATTATCAACACTCCTCAAGAATCTAAAACAACATATCTGAAATTCAGCTTAAAAAAAAAAAAAACCCAAAACATACAAACATTTTTGGAATTCCAAATGGTCAGATTTCTGCATAGTGAACCCTTAATCAAAATCGCATCTCTAACCGAATTTTGTTTAGGAAACACATATATGATCTACGCACATAACATTATTGAACTCAATCTTCCCATTTTAGTGTATTTCATGCATTTATACCAAATCATAGACAAAACAATCCAAAGAGAGTTATTAAATCAATTGAATCCTAAATCACCAAAAAAAAAAAAAAAAAAAAAAAAAAGGGAAATATCAAGCTTTACTCACCTCCCATTTGTTCATCCCCTTTGCTCTTTCTGATCACCAAATTTGCTCACTGACGGCCCCACTTTCAGCCACCACCATCACTCTCTACTCTTCTCTCTCTCTCTCCTTCTTGGCCAACTTCCTTTTCATCTCTTTTCTTTTTCTTCTCATTCTTTTCTCCTCTTTTCTCCTCTTCCTTTTCTCTTTTCTTTTTCCCCCCTTTCTTTATTCTTCTCCCCTTTTTCTCTTCTTTGAATGATCACTGTTCATCAAAATATCTAGAAAATTCAATTTAGTCTCCCACTGTTTCAGCTATTAAATTATACTCCCTTAGAACTTTCAAATTCTTACACTTTACCCCACAAAATCACAGATAAAATTTAATGAAATTCATACAAAAAATACAAGGTATTACATATACCCTCACAATTATTCGAGCTTGATGAAAAAATCACTCACACATCTGCCCCTAGTGTTTGGTGCTCGTTTTGAGCTTCGAAGACTATTGCTCGTTTTGATATCAAGGTCGGACTTCGTCGGTTGTGCGTTGAATGCATATCCGATTGAGATTCATGATGCTCAATGTAGATTTCCTCATCAAGCCATCCATTAGAATGCAGACTTCACATCAAGTTGGAAGATTTTCCACTTGAATTGAGCTGTCACTGCAGGAGAGCCGATTGGTGTCATGCCTTGCAACAGTTGCAAAGGTTTCTGAAAAATCTACCCTAAATTGCTGTGCAAAGCCTTAAAAACCAGCCTAGCTTGTTTGGTTCACTAATCCATCAGAATTCAGCTTCCTTTTGATATCCATTTAACTTGTATTACTCTCTTGTCAAGTGGCCTATCAACCAGCTCCAAGTTTGATTTTTCTCTCAATCACATTCATCTCCTCCTGCATTGCAGCCTTCCAGGCCTCAGATTTTACAGCTGTCACATAACTTGTAGGCTCTAGTTCATGCATATTACACCTCTCATATATGTCATGTAGAGACTTGGTACCCTGGACTGGTATTTCATCCACTTCTTCTAGATTCAATTCTGCATTCTAATTTTCTGGATCTGTGTTTGTGGATGCTGGTCCTTCTCTCAACTTGCTTTTTTTCCTAATTCCAAGTAGCTCTTTCATCTACCTTGATATCCCTACTAATCGCAATCCTCTTGGTGCTTGGATTGTAAATTCTGTAGGCTTTAGACTGGCTACTATATCCAATCATGATGCCTACTTTAGCCTTCTCATCCAATTTGCTCCTTTTGTTTACTGGAACAAATCATAGCACACACTTCCAAATACCTTCAAGTGATCCACATTGGCTTGACACCATACCAGGCTTCAAAGGATCTTGTGTGTTGATAATCATATTTTATACTATGATTTTGCATTGAATTTTGAAAAATGTAGGATACTTTTTCATACAAGTTGGGCCATAATTGCTACCTAATTCTATTAATTGTCTTGGCAGGCCTAACGATGATTTTTAGCATAAATGACAGTCTTGGCGTAAATTGTCTAACTTGAGCTTGGAAACTCGGAATGACCTGAATTTAGAACTTTGGCAAGCTAAGGGAAGAGCTATAACTTTCATGTTTTGGATTTTCCTAATTATGACTGGACAAGGTGAAAACTTGGCTTGAGTCGTGAACAATACGCTGGGAACTGAAGAAAACGTCTTTGGACGGTGCTTCAGTATTTTTACCATAACTTGAGCTGTAGACCTTAGATTATGCTTATATTGAACGAGTAGAAATATGATTTAAAGGGCTACAATTCATATGTTTAACACTTCTTAATATTCAGACTCTATCATGCTCAAATTTGGCCTGAAAGTCTTCACCGCGGCGAGGAAAAAGCTTCGCCGCTGCGAAACTTGCATTAGATGTAAAAAAAAACGACGCGTTTTGACTGGTAGGGCTTGGTCCTTAAGTGAAAGAGGTATAAATTAGAGCGAAAAGGAAAGAAAAGAGTCTTGGTTTGTCATTTGGGAGGCACTCATGGAAGGAAAGATTATTGAAGATTTGGGCTTCAAATTAGAGAAGATTTCTCCATCTTTTTGCTTGCTTTTCAATGATAAATCTTGATTCAGTTTGTTTTTTTTGTAATTTATTTTGTTTTTAAGTATGAACTGAGTTTTTTAGCTAGGGTTTAATGTAACCTTGATACAATGATTCAAATTTTATGATTGATTTACTTGAGTTTTAATTTCATGATTGAGTGTTTATCTCTTTGCTTAATGACTTTTGGATGCTTGATCACCATTCAAATGTGTGTTGTTCAAATGAGACTGAGAATTGATTTGTGATTGTGCCTCTTGGGATAAATACCATAGATTAAGCAAACGCTAGAGATAGGTTTAGCGATCTATGAAATCTAGATAGAATTCCATAAAGCTTAAAATCCTTTGAACTATTAATCTTCATTTTGTTGGGTGCGGAAGCTTAATAGGATAAGTAGGAAATGTAGCCTGAGGGTATGTTTTACAACTTAGCGAATTTGATTTTTCAATCAAGGAATTAGAACTGGGTAATAGATTCTATGATTTGGGTTAGCGTATCTAGGTGAAATCAACACCCTAGCATTATTTTTTTTTGCATTGTTTAATTAGTTAAGTTGTTGGGTTTTGCTTTAATTTAATTTTCATTCTGTATTTTTTGTTAATTTGATTAGTTTGATCATTTCCATCAATGCCCAATTTTATCGTTTCTTCAATTAGGACTTAAACTAGAGAAATCGATACTTAGTAACACTATCCTCGTGGGAACGATACTCACTCATCACTTTATTACTTTATGCGACTAGTGCACTTGCTATTCATTGCATGTTGTAGTAAACACGCATCAAGTTTTTGATTCTGAGTTTCCAAGCGCAAGTTAAAAGAATTAGGTAGCAATTATGGCCCAAATTGTATGAAAAGTATCCTAAATCCTATCAAAATTCAATGCAAAATCATAGTATAAAATATGATTATCAGTTGTCCAGAGCTTTGGTTGGTAACCGATTAAGGAGATAGATCCCAGTCTTGACTGCTTTTGCCTAGAAAATTTTTGGAAGATTTTTCTCAATCATCATGCATCTTGCCATCTCCATCACAGTCCTATTTTTCCTCTCACTCACTCCATTTTGTTGTAGAGTGTATGGACTACTAAACTGATGCCATATCCCAGCCCCTTTGCATGCTCCTTCAAACTCATTGGAAGTATACTCTCCACCATTGTCACTTCTCAATGTTTTGAGTGTCAAACTTGTTTGGTTTTCAACCAACAGCTTGAACCTTTTGAATATAGCAACTACCTCACTCTTTTGGTTCAAGAAATGTACCCATGTCATCCTGGAAAAATCTGTATGAAAAGGATGAAATATCTACTTCCATTTAGAGAAGTTTGCTGCATTGGACCACACACATTAGTGTACACAAGATGGAGCCTTTCACTTGCTCTCCAAGCTTTATTTATAGGGAATGGGGGCCTGTTGAGCTTGCCAATTTGACAGGGTTTGCACAATCCTTCACATTGGTCAATTTCGGGTAAGTTATGGACAAGGTTTTTGTGTTTGAGTTCCTTAAGGGAATGATAATGGAAATGTCTAAATCTCCTATGCCACAACTCTGAATCATCTATCCTAGCTGAGTGGTTTTGAAAGACAAGTTTTCCTAATTCTACAGGGAAGTTTTTTCCCTGCGTCATAACCTTCATCAATTCAGTCCCATCACCTTCTAAAATAACACAAGTGAGGTCCTTGAAATGAAGATAACAATTTTTCTCTAACATTTGTCCTACAGTAAGTAGGCTTAAACTGATTTTAGGTACAAACAAAACATCAGCTATGAGTTTAATACCTATTTTGGTTTAGCCAACTATGTCACCTTTGCCTTTCACCTCCAGCAGCTCACCATTTCCCACCTTCACCTTGGATTGATAGCCCTCGTCTAGGTTCACGAAATTGCTGGCATTTGGGGTCATATGATTGGTGTAGCCACTGTCAATCAACCACTCATAAGGGCTGCTTGCAACCATGCATTCTGAGACCACAAAAAGCTGCTCTGTACTCTCTTGTGTCTGCTGAGAACTTTCCACTGCTTGAGCTTGCTGGTCCTGCTGATTCCCCTTGTTCTTACACACTCTTCAATGTGCTCAAATTGTTTACAAGACCTGCATTGTATGCTAGGCCTAAACCAACATCTGTTTTCAGAGTGGTTCTTTCTCTTGCAGTGAGGACAAGGAGCAAAAGTTCTGGCACTTGCATTCTTTCCTCCTTGATTGTTCACCTTTTCTTTTCCCTTCTTCTCTCCGGCATACATCCTACTTTCACCTTAAAATCCCTTCTTTTTTTTGGCTTGCAAACATAGCTCCCTCACCCAAATCTTCCTGCCTCAGTAGCCTCCTCTACTCTTGTGCTTGAAGGGAATGCACAAGTTCAGCTAGGCTGATCTGGGACAGGTCTTTGGAGTCTTCAAGTGAGGAGATTTTTGTTTCAAATCTTTCGGGTAGACTGACCAAAACCTTTCCACAATCCTATGATCAGTCAACTCCTCACTAGGTAATTTAATCTTATTCACTACATTTATTAATCTATCCACATACTCCTTGACATTTTTAGTTTCTTGAATTTTGAGCATTTCAAACTCTCTTCTCAAGTTCAAGGCCTGCATGTTTTTAGTTTGGCTACTTCCCCCAAACTTCTCCTTGAGTTTATCCCAAGCTTCTTTAGGAGTATCACATGCCATTATCCTGGAGAAAACCTGGTCGATTACTGTTGAATGGATGCAAGAGAGTGCTCTTAGAGCCTTTGCTACCTCTTCTTCATGAATCCTTATCTAATTTAGTGTTAGGTTTGCTCCAAGCTAAGGAATTTGTTTCTCTTCCTCCATATATTGCCATAAAGAATGACCTCTCAAGTAAGTCTTCATTTTGACAGCCCAAACATGGTACTGCTCACCATTGAAGATAAGTGGAGAAAGAGGCGTTGGATTTGTTGCCATGAAGGAGATCTTAAGGGAATTGAGCTGTCTTTGAAGAGTTGAGGTTTTGGTCTGGAAACTCACGGTGGATTTGATACCAAATGTTGGTTTTAGAGGATGGAGAATCCTAAGGAAAAGCACTACAGATAAGTTAGCATACAATGAAAAAACTGAATACGGGAATTGTCTAACTTCATTGAACAATAATGCAAATAATATACATGGTTTGCACTACTGTTACACCTACTCTGCAGCAGGTTTACAGTCAAAGTAAATCAGCCATACTTTGCTAACTACTACAAACACATCACATTACAAAACACCTAACCAGCTGATTTACAGCTAAATTAACCTAAATTAACATTACATTGATTAAAAGATTCAGCTCCAAAGAGCTACAGTAGAACCAAAAAATTACAGCAGAAATTTAAACTTTGTCGTTGATAAGAGTGTAATTTATATATATTTTTATTCCTTCCATATTATGTTTTTGTTATGTTTTATGCCTAGTTGAGTTGATGAGAGTCTATCTTGTAAGTTTGGCATATTTGGATAGACTTTATGAAATAAGTGAGAAAAGATTAGCAAATTCCAGATTTTTGTTATTGTGACCAGTGCTACATTTTTCAGGTTTTTCATGGAGTCAGATTTCTCGATTGCAAAATTGTTCTTCAGAAAAAGTAAAGTAGACGAATCAAGCTTTCCAGGAAGGTATTATGGGCGACAATTCGAGTTCGTTTGTGTCCTCATTAGTTGTTGCAAAACCGGACCTGGAATCTTACTCACAGAAGGATTCTTGGCTGAGTGTTGAGTCTTCGAAGGGGCCTAATTGGAGTTTCAGATATCAAAAGTAGGTGATTCAAAAGCCCAGATTCATCTACACATCTGGGACTACAATTTTTATGAAGTGACCAAGCCCAGAAAAGTTCTTTTACATTGTGAGAATCCTAGTGCAAGCTAGAGATGAATTCTTTTTTCCATATCTGATAAGATTTTGATAATTTTGGAAGTCTATCTTTTAGGAAAGATCTAGGAAAGTAATTTCCGTGATTCCTAGGGTAGAATTAAGGAAAAAAAATGTTATTTATTGATGAGTTGTTAGGTTAAACGGGGAAAAAAAAAGGAGAATAGCAGTAGAGTTTAGTTTTTAGTTTTTTTTTACTTTCTACATCAAGATGTGCGGCTGATCTTTCTTCTTCAGTTCAAGGGGATTTTGAAGCCTGAATTCATGTCATTGGTGTAACTTAACTTCAGTTACATTGTTCTTAATCTCGTTCTTATTGGAATTGTTTATGTTATTCTGTTTTAATTGTTTATGATTTTTGTTTGAATGATTTAGTAATGGCCTGCTAAATTGTTTAATCGGAATTTCATCTATTAGAATTAGGAATTGTGATACTTAATTGCCTCTTTCTATTCAATGAGTAACACATGGTGATAGATGATTATGGACAAGTTTTCAGTCTGTCACCTTGAATAACATAACCTAAGTTAAATAATCCGATCTTGCGTGATTGTTGCTTGGATTGATCTATTTTCCTAATTCTTAAGGCTGCCATTGAATTAAACTTAGAGAGCTTATTCTAGGTTGTTCAAGGGGTAGGATCTAGTTGAAAAGCTTATTTCAGTAGTGATAATTAAGGGAAAATTCGGGTAACAGGACTTGTTGTTTCCTAGGGTCAATAATTCCATAATAACAAGATAGAATAATGTCACGATTAGTTCATATCCAATGCATGTTTAGGTGGATCTTGAACCGAGAACTAGTTGTTTTTAATTTGATATTTTTGACCATTGGGGATTTATTTGTTTCACTTTAGATTGCATTGATTACAACCCCTTTCATTATTCTACTGTCGTGTTCTCCTAAAAGAAGAGCCAAACATAAGAAGGAGACTAAAATTAAAAAAGATTATGGCTGTGCTCAAGAAAGAGTCCAAAATATCATGGATTACATTAATTTTTAAATTCTTTTTAATATTCTTAGTGTTAATAAATGCTTATTTTCCATTAATTTTTAATTTTTTAATCACAAATTTAAATTTATGTTAAAATTAATTTTTTATGTGTTGATAATCTCTTATGTGACTATGTTATCTTCATGAGTTATCTTGTTAACACTCCCAAGGATGTGGAATTGCTTGTTTGACAAGAAATTATTGAAAATCTACTTGGGGATAGTGAAACGAGTGTCAACTCTTTTCTCATAAACTTGTGGAACATGCTACTTATGATTCTTATTATTTCCAGTTTTCTTCACTTGTTGAAGATCTGAATGCGTATTGCAGAAGACCTTGGAACAAGTGGAAGGGAAATTTGAAACAACATATTTTGAGAACTCCATGGACTGCCAGTTCTATCATTTTTGCTGTCATTCTTTTCCTACTTGTATTCATTTTAATATAGGCCGCATTTTTGTCCTACAGAAAGAATATATAGATTTCTATCATTTATTGATACTAGAATGTTAAAAGAGTTATTCCTATGGCATGCATTCTCTTTTATGATCTATAATAGATGTTTTGGTTGAGAAGAGGTTTAAGAATACTATATACTTTTCTTCTTGCTAGGAATTTAATTAGTTGCTTTAGTCTTTAGGAATATTTTCCTTTAGTTTAGATATAGATCTATTTACTGTTGTTGCGGTCAATTTAAGAATATTAATGCTTTACTCTTAAGCATCTTCTTCAAGAATTTCATTCTAAATTCTATATAAGTTGAATCATTTGTTTGTTGGGACTAAAAATAAAACGAGCTATTGCAGCTTCAACCATTAGACTCATTCAGTTCAACAGCAGAAATTTTGAAGGTTGGATCTTCAGCTTGAAATTGTAAGTATGCAAATACTCTCTTATATAGAGTAAAACCTCTCTATAGTGATACTCTAAATAGTAATAAACTCCACATAGTCATAAAAAATTCTAATCTTAATTTGGGATAGTTATAAATAAGAATAAACTTCACATTGTAATAAGTTATAATTTTTCTAATTCCCGCCTTAAGGACAATTGCCTCTACATATTAATAATTATTTGTATATTGTAAATAAATATATGTTATGTTACATTAAAGGTTTAAGATGAAATAAAATATTTATCTAAAATTGTTTGGGACAATGATTATGCTTTAGAGTTATTACAATATCTTTTATCTTACGATTACGTAATACCTCGCTAGATTGGACACCTTGTTATTGAGACAAAAATATTTTTAGCTTTTCAAGCATGTTTAGAGCTTCATAGCAGTATTTCCATACTATCATCCTTAGGATTATTTCCTTTTTCTTCTTGTCTTATTGCAGTAATAATTTCTTCTTTGGTTATAGTATATATGATTTGTTGTTCATTTGGATGATCAAGGAAGACATTAATATCCATTTGATTAGTGTAGTGAAGATGTTGAATCTGATCTCTCAATTCTGCAATGACTCTTTTATTCTTCTCATCCACTTCATTTATAACTTGCAATTCATTGACACTAGGGATCCTAATTTTGTAGTGCTTAAAACCATTGGTAATTATCTATGGTTTCATATCAATTGACCATGCATAAAATGCATTTACAGTTCCATCAATGACACTTATCTTTGTTGGTTCTAAGACACAATCTTCTATCCATTTCAAAAGTAGCTAATTGAAGCACTGAATTGAAATCCTAATACTACTAAAATATAAATTGAAATCATAATACTATACTACTAAAACATGAATTATAAAATAAGAAATCAAATCAATAATTTTTGTAACTACACCTCCATTAAGTTATAACCTCCTCATAGTAATAAAATTAGTTAGTTCCACCATCATGACTAAAGAGAGGTTTTACTGTATATGTTTGTTTTATTGATTGAAACAATTATCATATATTGTTGAGATACATTCTTTGTTCATTTTCCTTTACTGTGATTTTCATTTTCTTGCCTTTCAAACTTTAATAAGATTGTGCACATGTACACATATAAATTTCATTCTGATTTATGCTTTTATTTCTTGCAAGACTTGAATTTGTTTTATCATTCCTTTTCATCTTAGCGGAGGAATATGTTAAATCAGATATAGAGCATAAGAAATATTAAAAGATCTATACTGCCATGCAATGAATTTTCCATCCCTACATTATATGAAATATAGTGTTTATGGTTGAGTCCTTGACACCCATGTGGGCTTAGCTGGATAGTTGATGTGGTTTGTTCCCATGAGATTTGAGGATTGAGCCTCCTCACGGTCACCTACATGGCAAAAGACCATTGTTTCTCACTTCCCAAATATTGTAGTGTTTGGTGGGGCTCCACTTTCAAGCCAAGATTAAGAAGAAAATTAAATCATTATTTTACCATTTCATGATTGATCTAAATTACGAAGCAATAAGAGAACATGCATAATTTGAGTGTGCTTATTATGGCTACTGTGTGATGGCCAGTAACATTAGTACATCCATCCAGGTGAAACTGTATTTTTCAAATGAGAAATATAATAAAAGACTCCACCTCTTCGTGTCTCATGATTTTTCGACCACCTTCTGGTGATCTCCTTTGCTCTCTCTGTGTATAATCCAATTAACTACTTTTTATGTTTCCATTCCTTGTCTCTGCTATGAAGTACATAATGGATTTTTCCTAGGAGAGGTTGAAGAAAGAAAAGGCGGAGGCACACCTTTATAGAATTATAAAGGTTGGTCCTCTCAATCTTTGTTTTCTAACTACTAAATTTATTGATTATAGTTAATATCGACACTTAGTTAAGCATATCTTCTTAGTAGTTAAATGA